GTTCAGCCCTGAGCTACAAATATCCTCTTTTATTGCTACACTGATCTTCTAATATGATTTTCTCCACCAACTGCCGTTTCCTTAAATGAATGCATGGAAAATCACCTCGCCGAGAGGAATATATTAGTCCCCCCAGTTCAGGGGTAGGCGACCTTGGCTCTTTTATGACTCGTGGACTTCAACTCCCAGAATTCCTGAGCAAGCATGGAATTCTGGGAGTTGAAGTCCACAAGTCATGAAGGGGCCATAGTTTCCCCATGCTGGCTCAGGAATTCTGGGAGTTGAAGTCCACAAGTCATGAAGGGGCCATAGTTCCCCCATGCTGGCTCAGGAACCAGCATGGGGGAACTATGGCCCCTTCATGACTCGTGGACTTCAACTCCCAAAATTCCTCAGCCAGCCATGGTGAGGGAAAAGGGAGAGGTTTCCATGCTGAGCCATGCTGGCTCAGGGATTCTGGGAGTTGAAGTCCACGAGTCATAAAAAGAGCCAAGGTTGCCTACCTCTGCCCTAACTGCTCTGATAGACTCTACATTTTGTTGCATCCAAATAAGGTGACCTAGGCATGGAAACCGTCCCTTGAATATGCATTAATGGCGTGAAATTAAATCCCAAGAAAGGACAAATTCCTCAATTCGCAACGGGTCTTGCACGGGTCATAGAAAAAGTCAATGGACATTGCAGGACCTTTGCAACCATAGGAGGGAGTTAACTGCAGACCATTATTCAATACCTCCACGCACTTTGGAAAGCCAGCCCAAGGACATTATGGGACAAACTATTTCAATAATGGTCTGATCTTTCTCCTGTTAAACAGATGTCCGCACGACCCACTTACCCTGTTGCAGAGTCCCTGCCCAGCGTGAGCGCTACAGTTGCCTGGACAGACCTGGAACTTGCAGCTGGGCCCGGTGTAGCCAGGCTTGCAAACACAGCGGCCCGCCTGGCACTCCTGGTTGTTGTGACAGCTGGGCCGGCAACGGTGCACCGTGTAGGTGGCATTAAAGCCTGAGGCCTCGCTAGAGTTGGCTTCGTAGTAGATGACCAGGAGGCCTGCAAGTTTGAACAAGGACAAAACCTGACGAGGATCCCAGAGCTGTGGGGTGCCAGGAGGGAGAGAGGTTCTTTGAAGGCCCTATTTGTCGAAGTCGGCAACTTGACAATGGGTGGACTTCAACTCCCAGCATGCTGGCTGAGGAATTTGGGGAGTTGGAAGCCCACCTGTCTTCAAGTTGCCAAGGTGGAAAAACACCGCATTAAGGAAATGAGCCTTCAGACTTTTATCTGAAGCGGGAGAACACAAGAAGCAGAGTGGAGAAGACACAAATAGAGGCAAAACTAGCTTAGATTAACTCATCCTGCACAGGATTCCAACCCCTTAGAGCAGGGGTAGGCGGCCTTGGCTCTTTTATGACTGGTGGACTTCAACTCCCAGAATTCCTGAGCCAGCATGGCTCAGCATGGCAACCTCTCGCTTTCCCCTCAGCGTGGCTGGCTCAGGAATTCTGGGAGTTGAAGTCCACGAGCTATAAAAGAGCCAAGGTTGCCTACCCCTGGCCTAGTCTGTGCAGCCATTAGGTCTGCAATAAGGCCCATTTAGAGCTGGGGTCTTCAAACTTGGCCCTTTTATGACTCGTGGACTTCAATTCCTAGAATTCCTGAGCCAGCATGGCTCAGCTTGGAAACCTCTCCCTTTCCCCTCAGCATGGCTGGCTCAGGAATTCTGGGAGTTGAAGTCTACCAGTCATAAAAGAGCCAAGGTTGCCTACCCCTGCCTTAGAGGGTAAACACACTTTTCCAAACAAGGCTGTCTTGTCTTTTGCTAAGCCCCCCAAAATGCAAAATGCCTAAGGAACTGATGAGCCATAGAGACTGAAGGCCAAGTCCGACTGTCCTTACAGACCTTCCTCAAGTTAAGAACAAGTTCAAATCCTCACTTTGTCTTTAATTCAAATTTATATGTTGTCAGAATTCCTACTTACAGACAGACTGGCCTACGACTCAAAATGGCGGACAGCATTGTCCTTCCTCGTACTGTAAAAGCAGTCAAAAGTTTCCCGAGTTTCATTCCCCCAACTTAATTTTAATGTTTGTTATATTTTAAACAATTTACTGTTTTTATATTCTTGTCCTGCATGGACTTTCGAAGGAAGGAAGGAAGGAAGGAAGGAGGGAAGGAGGGAAGGAGGGAAGGAAGGAAGGAAGGAAGGAAGGAAGGAAGGAAGGAAGGAAGGAAGGAAGGAAGGAAGGAAGGAAGGAGGGGAGGGAAGGAAGGAAGGAAGGAAGGAAGGAAGGAAGGAAGGAAGGAAGGAAGGAAGGAAGGAAGGAAGGAAGGAAGGAAGGAAGGAAGGAAGGAAGGAAGGAAGGAAGGAAGGAAGGAAGGAAGGAAGGAAGGGACTTCCATAGGACGGAAGTGAGATGGGCAGAGATATAAATTTAATAAATAAACCAACTTCCACCAAATTCTTTTTCTTACCTGATACTGCTTCTACAGTGACGGGGCGGGGATGACCTTGGCCGCAGAACGCCCCAATGAGAGTCCGGTCCAGCTGGATCAGTCCTGTGTCCAGGAAATCAGGGACTCCATCAAAGACGTAGATATAGTTATGCTAAGGAAGAATTGAAGGAGAGGAGGAGATGAGATCACACCAACAGAGATCCAGATAATACTGCTGTGAGATGAGTGGATATGTACAGGCAGCTCTCGACTTAACAACCACAATAGAGCTGGAAATTACCTATGACGGTTTTTAAGAGACTGGACAGCCATTTATCTGAAATGGTATAGGGTTTCCTGCCTGAGCAGGGGGTTGGACTAGATGACCTCCAAGGTCCCTTCCAACTACTACTACTACTACTACTACTACTACTACTACT